CTGCTTGACCAAGTTTAGTGTCAAATCACCACATCTTTCAGAACATTTCCAGAACATTGCCTATTTATGTCTTTACCGCACCCTACTGCTGTTGAAAATCCTTACGTGTGCCTTCTTCAACTTGCGAATAGATTTTCTTTCCAACAGTTGCCTCACCAGCTTCCCTGTGTCCACTCAGCTGAAGCTTCAACTGATCCACGATGCTGCACCCTGATGGTCACTCACACCCTTATTATTCTCAGACTTGCCAAGTTCCACTGGCTCCCAGTACCCCAGAATATTGAGTTTAAGATCTTTATTTTGGTCTTAAAATTCGGTTTTGTCCCATTCTATCTATGCAATCTTCTCTAGCCCATTCCATTCACTCTTCGAATTCTGGTCTATTCTTTGCTCATTCATGCCTTCATCACATCCTGGCTTGATTATTCCAACACTGAATTTGCCAGAATCCCCGGATCCTCCCTATTCAAGCTGCAGACTATCAGTAACTTTACACTTCTCTCCTACACTAGGCTCCATGAGCCTATCACTCCTATTCTCACTTGCCTGCACTTGCTCCCCATCCCCCAGCAGATCAAATCCAAGATCCTCGTTCTCACAATCAAATCCTGCCATGGCGTCGCCCTCCACTCTGCCTCCTCAGTATCCCTACCTGCTTGGTCATTTCCTCCACGCAGCTGACAGTGTCCTCCAATCAATGTACTCAATGTTCAGTAAGTAAGCTTCCAGACATTCTGCCCCTCACTCTGAAACTCCATCCCAGATTACCTCTGTCCCTTCATCGCAGAGTGCCTCTGCCACTCCATCCCAGAGTGCCTCTGCCACTCCATCCCAGAGTGCCTGGGTCATCTTTCTCCCCCATCTCTTCATGTTGCTCCCACTTTCCAGGTACCTAGTTAGCTGTCGCATGAAAGGCACTATATAATTGTAAATTTTTCTCCACAACCAGTAGTGTCAGAACGTTAATATATCTTGCTCCTTATTGAAACTCTTCCAAAATCATTTTACATTTCTACCCTGACTGGATTTCTTCAACACCTTCCTCACTGGCTTTCTGAGCTCAACCCACCATAAACTACAGACCATCCAGAATAATAATCCTTGCATTTGATACATCGCCTTATCACATCTTCGAGACATCTCAAAGACCTTCACAGAATATACTGTAAAGTAAAGTGACTATATTTTGTGGGCGAAACGCGGCAGCCAATTATGCAAAACAGTGTCCCACAAACAGTTGTTAATTGAAGTGACCAATTCATTATTATTATTATTTTTTGAAGGATATATTACCGTTGGAAAAGCAATCTGCCAAACGACTAACAACCGGATTCCTACTTACTGCTTGGTAAACATTGGCGTGTAGTGTAAGGAAACTTGGCAAACATTTCGCCCTGCCAGGAATCGAACCCAGGTCTCTCACTTGCAAGATGAGAGCTTTAACCACTGAGCTACAGAAATCCACAGTTTGCATCCTTTTCTGTATCGGGCCCCCGAACTCCAATACCCCCATGTTTTCCAGGCTCCACTGGCTTCATTCTACCCAGGGGATTCACTTCACTATTTTTCTAATGCTTCTATGCCTTTTCTTCACCCTACCTTTGTGATATCCACTCTGCTAACTCAGGTCTGCTTTACATTCCCCATCCTCTCCATCCCACCATATATGGGTACTTCCCAGAACTCTCTCTGTAATCACTCTACTTTACACCCTATGCCTCTGTTTTCAGAAACCTGCCAAAACATCCTTGCATTTTAGCATAGCACCTTTCGGGTTAAGAGAATATTCCAAAGCACTTCACAGGATATATTATAAAACGGAGTGACTGTGTGTTTTGTGGGGGAACCTAGCAACCAATTTTCACACAATAGTGTCCCACAGCCTTGAAGTGAATGACCAATTTTTATTTTGGGGGATTGTTGGCCAGGGCACCAGGAGAAACTCTCTTCTCTTTTCAAACAATGCCATGGGATCTTTAACCTGAACAAGCAGACAGGCCCCTCGGTTTAACACTACATGTGACAATGCAGTGAACCCCCAGCACTGCATTGGTGTAATCTAAGATTATATGACGCTCAAATCTTGACTTGGGACTTGAACCCACAAACTCCTGAACTGAATGCTACGAACTGAGCCAGCCTGACACACTATGAAAAAAATCTTTCTCTTTAACGGTGTCTTTGGTCACCTCCCTCCTATATTCGATATCTGGTGCAGTAAAATGTTTTCCTATGTGAGAAGTATTATATAAGTGCAAGTTGTTGCAGCCTTCAAAAGTCTTGTGCAAAATATATCTTTGACCATACTTTTGGTCAACTTTATGAAATCTCCCATTTCTCTGCTCGATCTGCACTCCATTTGTCAAGCACTTTAAGGTATTATTTTATCAAAATTGCATTATATGCTGTAAATGCAAGTAATTTTTGTGATTTATTGATTTTAAGGAGCCTTCGGTGGCAGAGAGGCACTATCTTTGAAAGATTCTTTAAAAGCATGAATTTTTTAGGACTGTAGAGACCTGAAGCATATTGGTTAGAGCACTTGCCTCAGAAGCGAGAGGACACAGGTTCGATTCCTGGGCAGGGCGAAACTTTAGGTAAGTTTCCTTACTCTGCGTGCCTCTGTTTACCTTGCAGTAAGTAGGAACCTGGTTGCTAGCTGATTAGCGAATTGCTTTCTGGGGGTTATGATTCCTTCAAAATAATTTTTTTTAAATAAATAAATAAATAAGTCACTCAATCTACGACTGTTTGTGGGATACTATTATGCACAATTGGCTGCTGCGTTTCACCCACAAAATATACAGTCAATTTACTTTACAGTATATTCTGTGAAGCACTTTGAGACATCTGAATGAGTGATAAAGTGCGATATCAAATGCAAGGATTCTGATTAGCCAAGGAAAAAATTCTCAACTAAAATGCTTTTAATAGATTTAATTTTTGTATTAAAAACGAGGATACAGGTGGGAATTATTTTTGATGGACAGATGGAAAGATATGGCATGGTAACACCCATTTGGCCTAACTAATCTGTGCCAGACTAATTGACAGATTAACCATCATTATGATTTTGGAAAAATATATGAACGTTGTACACTGTGGTAAGTGGTCTTAGGACACTCCCCAGAAGGAAAAAGGTTCTAAGCTTCACGTCAAATTCTATGTTGCTCTCCTGATTAAATATTTGAAAAGATAACCTTCCCTCAACCGATAAACTGATAATTGAGACAACACAAAAAATTACAGGAAATGTGACTGATGTAAGTAAGGTAATGTAAATACTTCAATAACTTGAAGGATTCTTAAGATAATATTCAGGGTTTTAAGGATTAGGGCCCCATGAAGAGTCTTGACATTTTTACACAATAGTCTCAAAAGAGAGATCTAAAGATTTATTCATGCAATCAGATGAATAATGAACGTTGAAACTGGATTTTAAAAGAAATCTCAACAGGTCTACTCGTGATTCTTTTTATTTCACATACTTGTTTTCGGTACACCCACAGAAAATTTGCCACAGGAAGAAATAGAAGAATCATCACTGATCCAAGATGTATAAGATTCTAAAGAGTGGTAAAACACAGTACAGCAATTTCCACTTATGTAGTGCCCTTCGCAAAGGATAACGTCTCAGAGCGTTTCTCAAAGATGGAGTCAGACACTGAGCAAGGGGGGAGGGGAAGGGAGGAGGGGCATGACCATAGGCATGGTCAAAGAGGGTTTTTAGGTTGCACTTAAAGATAGATGTGGTTTTAGCTGGTTAGACTCCAGTAGTACCCTAACACCTGCTCTTGGGTCCCCAGTCTTGGCTGTTGCCCACCTGTGCCTAATACTTTCTGGAATTAGGTAACCAGGATGTGTCCCTCCAGTGAGAGAATGTGCATTCCATTCCAACAATCTGTCCCTGGAATTTCCATGTGTAAGTGGGATGCATGGAAATCTTAGCTTGGTTTAGATTCTCTTAAGTGTGGTTATGGGTTTCCGCATGTGTAAGACAGCCGGCTGACCTAAACAAGAGAGGAAGGGAATGAGATGAAGGGTAGAGGGAGGGAGTTCCAGAGGTTATAAGGGTAGTAACTACAGAAAGGAATGAGGAAGCAAACAGGAAATACATCAGCCATTGGTTCTGCATGAGGAAGAAGTGGTTTCCATGAAAAGCTAAGATTTGTGGAGTAAATGAGGAAACACTTTAAAATGACAAAGAATTCCCCAAATCTTAGAAAAGGAATGATACAAACTTGCTGGGTAGATGCCGTTAAGAGGATTGGCAACGTGGTCAGGCTGGCATACTGAAACTTTAATTATAATAATCCTTGCATTTGATATAGCGCTTTTCACATCTTCTAGACGTCTCAAAGCGCTTCACAGAATATACTGTAAAGTGAATTGACTGTATATTTGTGGGCGAACGCGGCAGCCAATTGCGCACAGCAATGTCCCACAAACAGTCGCAGATTGAAAATGACCAATTTATTATTGTTTTTGGTTTTGGAGGGATTATTATTAGGCGTGTGGAGTAAGGAAACTTGCCCAAGGTTTCGCCCTCTGCCTGGAATTGAACTCAGGTCTCTCGCTTGCAAAGCGAGTGCTCTAACCACTGAGCTACAGGACTCCACAAATGACACTAAGGAACAGAGGGACACAGAATAACCTATACAGACTATAGCTGTGGCAAGGAATTATTAGTAGTGGGATAACAAGCCATTATACCATGATGTAAAAACATTATAATTAAGGCTCCACTGTTGAAGGTGCCAGAACCGTTGGGAATACAGGAGGATGCATCAACTACAGGAAAACTACCATTTGAGTTTACATTATTTATTTCAAAAACCATTTCATTTAGGCACAATATTAGTCTTTCTGCTGCAGACTATTATTCTAAACAGGACAGCCGGCTGTAATGGAAATAAAACACAAATTGTGCAGAATCAATAGATACAGCGCTACACTACTGAGCATTTTTTTTTAATAACGTCATTGACAAGTAACCTTACCTATATAGTGAACAACACAGGTCTGTCCCTTCTTGGGAAATGTTCTGCCTGAGAGAAAGAGAATAAATGTTTAAGTGGACAGACTTATTGCAACGTGGGACTTGCAGCTGCAGCTTGAGAGGAGTTGCAGGCTGGACACACGATTCATTTCGTTCCGAGAGACCGCGTTCAAAAAAAAAAAGAGAGAAGAAAGAAAAGAAAAAAGAAGGAAAAAAAAAAACATTTTAAACTTTCAGAAGGAAAGAAACCCCGGAGCGAGGAGTTCCAAACAAAAAGGGGAAACCACTTGAAATCTTACGACCAGGTTTTTGCTGATGGAGCATTCAGCCCAGCATTATTATTAGGCTCTCAACCTTTCAAGGATGTGATTTGTTTTTAAGGCAGGGCTAGAGTTTAAAGAGCTTCTCATTTTTAATATTAATTATCATCAGGGGCAAAAAAAAAAGGAAAGAGGCTGCTGCTTTTTTTTTGGGGGGGGGGGGGGCACAATGCACAGCACAGGAGCATTCTTGGGAGATCTGGGGTTTTGCACTCTCTCTCACACACACTCACACACACACACACACACACACAAAAAAAAATCAGTGAAATCCCCACAGTTGCTCAGTTATCTCTCTCCTTCCCAGTCAGTGCGAGCCTTGCGCAGCTGTCAGCAAATGCCATTTAAACATCCACAGCCACACCACACACACACCACACACACACACACACACACACACACACTGACTGCATTGCTACCAAATTTGTCTAGACCGGCGAGACAGGGCAGCTTTTGCAAACAAACCTTTGCAACACAAGGCACCACAAGCACGAGCAGCAATCCCTTCCCCTCGAAATAAATGGTGCAATTACGATTGCCTTACCATCTCCTGGGGATATTGTCTCGATATCCACTCCCATGATTGTGGCTGCAACAATTTATTTTATATATTTTTTATATATATATGTGTATATATATGTTTATATATCTACTGTACAAAATCTCTGCTCGGGGTATTGCCAGTCTGGACCTCGGGCTGCAGCAGACGTCTGCTCTCGGCTCCGTACCCAGCGAGACTCGAACCACCCACCAGCCGCGCAGACCTGTCACCGAGAGGCCCGTGTCGTCATTGCGACATGTCAATCATGCCGGGGATTGGGCAGTCGGCGTCTCCTCGAGCAACGAATCAGCGTCCGGCGGGGGCGGGACTCTGCTGGTGACCAAGTTTGGATGGTCCTCCTGCTCAGGTCCTCTCTGCTGGACTGGGTGGCCTGGCCCTTCCCTCGCGGAGGGTTATTTTAAGCTCAGGGAAGGTTGCTGCCCCGGGGATCCCGGTCGACTTGTTCAGTGCCCGGCAGGGCTCCAAGAGAATAATAATCATAATAATCCTATATAATAATCCTTGCATTTGATATCGCGCTTTTCACGTCCGGAGGACAACAACAACAACAACAACAAGATTCCATTTATAAAGCGCCTTTCACGTCAGGAGGACGTCCCAAGGCGCTGCACAGTTGGGTCATGACCCGAGCAGGGGGAAATGGTCAGGGTGAGGGGAGGGAGGGAGCGAGGAGGGGGAAATGGTCAGGGTGAGGGGAGGGAGGGAGGGAGCGAGGAGGGGGGAAATGGTCAGGGTGAGGGGAGGGGAGGGAGGGAGCGAGGAGGGGGAAATGGTCAGGGTGAGGGAGGGGAGGGAGGGAGCGAGGAGGGGGAAATGGTCAGGGTGAGGGGAGGGGAGGGAGCGAGGAGGGGGGAAATGGTCAGGGTGAGGGGAGGGAGGGAGCGAGGAGGGGGGAAATGGTCAGGGTGAGGGGAGGGATGGGAGGGAGCGAGAAGGGGGAAGAGAGTTGAGAGGGGAGCTGAAGGCTCGGTCAAAGAGAAGACGTCCCAAAGCGCTTCACAGAACACACTGTAAAGTGAACTGACTGTATATTTGTGGGCGAACGCGGCAGCCAATTGCGCACAGCAATGTCCCACGAACAGCCGTGGATTGAAAACGACCAATTTATTATTGTTTTTGGTTTTTTTGGAGGGATTATTATTAGGTGTGTGGAGTAAGGAAACTTGCCCAAGGTTTCGCCCTCTGCCTGGAATTGAACTCGGGTCTCTCGCTTGCAAAGCGAGTGCTCTTACCCTGAGCCACAGGACTCCACAGAACGCGACGCAGCTTCATCCGTTACCATCGAAAATTAGGTTAAGATCGCGGCGGATTTTTTTTAAAAAAAAATTCGCCGGAATCTGATGACGATCATAATAATAATCTTTGCGTTTTTGTCGCGGCGCCTTTTCGCGTCTTCGGGACGTCTCGAAGCGCTTCACGGGAAACACCATAAAGTGAATTGACCGTATATTTTGTGGACGCAACACGGCAGCCAATTGTGCACAGTAGTGTTCCGCAAACAGTCGTATAATTATTATGGAGATTGCTTGAGCACAAGCTATAGTTGTAGCATGCTCGTTCTGACTAATGCAGGTCTTATAATTTTCTTGCAATTATAATTTTCTTACATGGAGGATGAGTGGGGCAATGTTACATTTTGGCTGGCAGAGCCAGGTTCAAATCCAGCTGAAGGGATGAAAGTTTGTTGTCTATAAGTTTCCTGTACAGTATAACATTTCTATGGCAGGGTTCATCCTATTCCTTCAGTGGGCATGGACTCACAGGATAAAACTCCTCCTAATTTGCCCCATGGGTTTGCAGGTTAGTGATGACTGGGCAAAGCCAAGAAAGTTGTTTTCACCCTGTGGTTGCTCACTGTGTAAGATTGCAGCCTGGCCAGTTTCAATCTTCCGTAGTTGTTTTGTTCTTGGACTGGCTGGTTAGAGGTTGGCAAAAGACAAAAAATTCTTCAAAAATTATTTTTGCCCTTTCATCTTCTCTCAGTGAAGTAGCCAGTTCTGCTGCTTTATATTGTAAGTCTAATTTGTATGTTGTGATATCCATGAGCAAACCCATACACAGAAGTGTCCTTAACAACAACTTGTATTTATGTAGCACCCCTCAAGCAAGGTAGCATCCCAGGGAGCTTAACAGTGACGGAGCACGACTCAGAGTCGAGGGGAGGACGGAGGTGGCTGTAGGCACCGTCGAAGAGGATGATCTTCAGTCGCGACTTGAAGATGGGAAGGATCGGGCAAGGTGAAGGGATTGAGGGAGAGTATTCCAGAGTTTCAGTGAGTAGTGGCTGAAAATGCGGCCGCCGATGGTGGAACAGAGGGCACGAGGGACAAGCAGGCGGGCGGAGCCAGTCGAGCGGAGGCAACCGTTAGTGGGTTGGAGAATAAGCAGGATGGAGAGGTAGGGAGGTGCCAGGGCATGAAGGATTTAAAGACGAGTGTGAGGATCTTGAAAATCCATCCATTCGATCAGTGGAGTCTGGCTAGAACCTGTATGATGGGGGTACGGAGTTTAGTACATGCAGTGGAGTTTTGGATTAACTGGATTTTGTGGATGGCGGAGTTGGGAGCCTGGTGAGGAGGGCAAATGAGTAGTCGAGGCGGGAGGTGACAAACGCATGGAAGAGTGTTTTGGCTGCCCTTAAGAAAGAACTTGCATTTTCATCGCAGTTTATCAAATGGAAACATCTCAAAGAGTAATCACGGCCAAACACAGCAGCTATTTGTAACAAGGTTCCACGACAGCTATGACATGAATGGCCAAATAATTTGGAGATTCCTGGTCAAGACACAAGGAAAATCTCGCTTTGTCTCAAACAGAGATGTATGGCACACAGAGGTCATTGGATCTACTGTATTTGTGTTGGATGCTCATTCAGTGAAGTCATCTGTTCTGGTCTGGTGGCTGAATCGTGGCACAGGACCTCAACTTTAACATTCTCATTCAGGAGATAGCACTTCAGCATTTTTTACAACAACAACTTGCATTTATATAGCGCCTGTCACGCAGGGTAATGCCCCAGAGCGCTTATTAGTGGCGGAGCATGATTCCGAGCCGGGGGGTTGGGGAGATAACCAAAGGCACGGTCGAATAAGAAGATCTTCAGGCACGACCTGAAGATGGTTGTTAGTCGATTGGCGGATAGGTTTTACGGGGGTAATAATTCCTTCAAAAAAATAATAAATTGGTCACTTTAATCCATGACTGTTTATGGGACACTGCTTTGCATAATTGGCTGCTGTGTTTTGTCCACAAAATATAGTTAATTCACTTTACAGTATATTCTGTGAAGTGCCTTGAGACATCCTGAAGACATGATAAGGAGCTATATCAAATACAAGGATTATTATTGTATATATGTATATAATCCACTGATCCCAATTGGAGCTCAGTTAAACAGGATTCTGTTTTTTTNGGACAGTCAAGTGTCTCACAAATGCGAAAACCCATTACCAAGCTTAAGAGTATCCAAACCAGTCAGAGTTCAATATATGTATGCCATCTACACAGGGAATTGGACTCTCTCTTTGGAGGGATGCGCCCTACTTATCTAATTCCGAGTGTTAGAAGAAGATTGGTGAAAGTCAAGATTTGGGTACACCAGAGTGTGCTGTTGGAATTTAAAAGGCTAAAACCACTTAGTCTGCCATTGTGCATCTTGTCTAGCAAGCTATTCACAATAATACAAAGCAGCTGGTGGCCCCGATTTAGAATTTACTAACTGTATGCTCCTTCCTAATTACTTAAATTGGGTGGAACTTATGCACTGCAAGATGACTGGTGAACTGGCCAATGAAACCTGGAATTCAGAGAAAGCTGTCGAGCACTGTCGAGCCAGTGAAAAAAATCCCTTGTGGGTAAAAGTCAAGGAACCAATGGGAGGGAGTTTCCTCACGGGAGGTAGAGCAATCTGAAAGAAATAAGTGTTAAAAGTAGAGAAAGAGCAGGTAATGACATGAGTCAGAGTTTGTGGACATGCTGTGCAGCAAAACAGAGTTGGAACAAGAAGGAGGATAAAATAACTGAAGAGTCATATCTGGCAATGGCTACATGAAAGGGCAAAATAACTCAGACGTGTGTGGTAAAGTGGGTCACAATAGCTAAAAGGAAGTAACTGTCCCTGTTGCCAACTCGGCCCCATTTCAGCTAACCCCAGTTTTAATAGCACCATTCCAATTAAGGCTGTTATTTTTCATTGCATAACATGGCAATCTTATCTTGTGGGGCCTTGAAAGCCCATCGTGTAAAACATATCTTCCTGTGATTCAAAAGAAAAAGCTGATTGCATCAATTGACGACTGGCCACATTGAGTTCACTGATATCCTGTCTTGCAGACATACTATTCCAGTCTCCTGCTCCTAAGTAAACATCCACACCCTTCAACAACATGTTGCAACTAGTAGTCGAGTTCAACCATCACCATGTTTATTGTGCATTTGAACCTGACCCCATCCCTTTACAATACATGGCAATCCCCTTTGGTTGTGAGTTTTCTGAGGTGCCTTCCCATGACCCTTGTTCCCAGCAATGGTCTCTAATTTGTTGAAGCCATGGGCCCCTTTACTGACCAGTCAATATAATAGCTATGAACTGCTACCCTGCATGCAGGGCCCTATATATAAATGCAACTTATAATAATAATAATAATCCTTGCATTTGATATAGTGCTTTTCACATCGGGAGGACGTCCCAAAGCGCTTCACAGAACACACTGTAAAGTGAATACACTGTATATTTGTGGGCGAACGCGGCAGCCAATTGCGCACAGCAATGTCCCACAAACATTCGTAGATTGAAAATGACCAATTTATTATTGTTTTTGGTTTTGGAGGGATTATTATTAGGCTCTGTGTGGAGTAAGGAAACTTGCCCAAGGTTTCACCCTCTGCCTGGAATTGAACTCAGGTCTCTCGCTTGCAAAGCGAGTGCTCTAACCACTGAGCTACAGGACTCCACAACTGGCCACATTATACTTGTCGTATAATGTACTCTGGTTACATTTGCGCAGAGACACTGTCGTGCTTCCTCTAGTATTGCGGTTTCCAGCGTGCCAAGTCCATCTCCTCCCCCAGTTTTTAGCATTGAAAAACAACTCAGTTAAGATCTACCCACACATGCACCAATGTTCCGATCAAATTCCAAGTGGTTCTAATTAAGATACAGCCAACATTCAGATCTGCATTGCCAGGACATTCTGTGTGATTGGAAATCTA